CTTGAGGGAACATCTCGGCTTTGTGGAAGGGTGGCATGTAGACAGGAGGGGAGGGTGCCAGGCTGTAGCCCTGGGACGTCACCGGGATGGGCAGGCCGGTGGGCACGAGAGACTGGTTCATGTCGTACATCACTCCCTCCGCCTCGTTGCCAAAGGGCAGCAGCAGACGTTTGCCTTTCTGACGCCGGTTGCAGAACCAGACCCGGACCACCTGCGAGGGAGGGGAGACATGGAAGGGTGAGGGGGGTGAGCCCAGGTGCTGTGCAGGTGGCAAAGAGACCCTTCTGCTGGTGGCATCTCCACAGCACCGACCTGCCAGCTCAGCACCCTCCCTGCCATAGCTCCTCGTGGGGCTGGACTCAGACAGGCCGATGGTGGCTAACAGCCCCGACCACTCTCCCACCGCTTCCAGTATGGAACTGGCGGGTGTGGGGGGTCCGGGGACCACCCACCCTGCAAACCCTCCCAACCTACATCTTTGTCCAGGTTGAGGTCCTCGGCGATCTGGGAGATCTCCTGGGGACTGGGCTTCACACACTTGCGGAAGAAGCTCTCCAGTGTCCCCTTCACGTTGGTCTCGATGCTCGTCCTGCGTTTTCTCTTCCGGGCTTGGGCCAACACTTGCTCCGCATTGCACATCTGGAAAGGAGAGGCCACATGCTTGGTCACAGGGCTGGCAATGTCCCCACCAGGCTCTAGACACATGTGTGGCTGGGAGGGATGGGGACACTGAGCATCGCGCCACTGTGATCGGGGCCATTCCCAGGGTTCCAGCACTGCCTGCAGCTGGTGCAGTGGGGATGGACACATCTTCCTGCATCCCTCTGCACCTCCAGGTCATCCGAGACTCCAGCAGGACCCGGCTGCTCTGAGATGGGAGCTGCTGCAGTTGTCACAAGGTGTCTGCGGGGGTATTTGGGCTCCCCCCTGCCTGACAAGGCGATACCCAGCAGTTCCCCCGCAACCGGACTGAAGCCACGGCAGTGAGATGCTGCTCCAGTGCAATGTCTGCTCCTCCCCTCCTCTCTCCCAAAAAGCACGGGTAAAAAGGGACGAGAAGCTGCAGCTCGGTGGCTCACGGGTGTGCGGTGCCCCTGGCGCCCCCCAGCCCTGTACCTCTTGCATGTTGTCCGTGTTCTCCGCCTCGTTGAGCCAACGCTGCAGCAGCGGCTTCAGCTTGCACATGTTCTTGAAGCTGAGCTGCAGGGCCTCGAAGCGGCAGATGGTGGTCTGCGAGAAGACGTTGCCGTAGAGGGTGCCCAGCGCCAGCCCCACGTCGGCCTGGCGCAGAGGGATCCCCCCTCCAGCAGCCCCCCAGGATCCCTCAGCCCCTGAGCATCTCCCATCCCTGGGGATGGGGCATCAGGGAAGGCATTCGCCCTGCTGCTTCAGCAGGGATTTAAAGCACTGAAACACTCTTCAATCAAAGCTGCTGTAGTTATTTTAAACCAGTTCCTGGTTATCAGACCCTTCCAGCTCCAGCGGGTACTTAACCGGGGCCCGGGAGCCCCAGGAGCCCTGGGGCCGGTGCTCACCGCCTCCTTTGCAGGTCGTTAAGGAGCAGAAATCTCTATTGCCCAGGTGCTCCATCCCCCTCCCAGGCCTTTCCCTTCCCTCCGGGTGTGGGGGGAGGCGAGGACCCTCAGCGGACCCTTACCGTAGAGGGTGCCCAGAGCCAGCCCCACGTCAGCCTGGGTGAAGCCCAGCATGATGCGCTTGTGCTTGAGGTCCTTGGCGAACTGCTCCAGCTCTTCTGAGGTTGGCGCATCCTGGCAGGGGCAGAGAGAAAGTGAGAGGGGACAACTCGCGCCCGGGGGCTGCCGAGAGCGGGGGTTGCCGGTGCGGCGGGGACGGGCTCACCTG